CAGGCATTCCACTTGTTTGCTCGTATTTGGATTTCTTTCGCATTCATTGGTACTTTAGCCAATTACTACTCAGAGATTTTTAAAATATTTCTTATTTTATTTTAAAAAATATTTTTTAATTTTATTTAGAAAATTATTTGTACTTACATTTGAGCTCGAGAAGTTAGCGCTGCCGATTTAGCTTTTTATTTTTTTTAATGATGAATCATGCATTTCATCACTGTTTTGCAACGGCTCTTTCTAATTTAATTAAATTTAAAAATTTAAAAATTTATCCTATGGTGCTTGTGAATTTCTCGACAGAACAGAACCCTTATTTTTGGTATATTATTTAATTTCACTTTAAGGGGATTATCAAATTTTAAGAAATTAATTTTAAGAAAATATTTGTTGAGTTCAGGGACGATGCGACAAAGATAATAGCAGAGAAAACAGCGGAACAAACCACCAAAATTAGGAAAGGTAATGAAGAAAAAAGCTATAAAAAAGCCATAAAATCGTGTTGCCAGTGCTTTTTTTCTTAAAACAGTGGCTGATTGACTGGAGGAGACCAGAGAGTTGTTTGGGGGAGCTCTATAATTATGAAATAATTGGATCTTTATCAGCAGCATTTTAAATGGTGAATTCACTGCCAAAGGAATCGAGGAATCGAGCCTATGATTTCTTCCGGAAACTATTTCTCTGTGGATCAGATGAATTACAAATGTCACACCATAGTACCAAGTACCACATTTGGGGGTCATAATCATTTTCAATTAAAAATCTTATGTCTGAGATTACCATATTCGGATATTAGATCAATAAATAAACAAACATGTGAGCAATAAATAAATAAATAATAAAAGAAAACAAAATGGGACAGAAGGTTTTTTTCGAAAATTTGAAATGAATGTAAAAAAGAAGAGAGAAGAATTTAGAAGGGAAATCAGGATAAGATAATTAGAAGGCAATGTTGAAGCAGGAAAACTTTGTGAGTGTTTGCAGCTTTGTTGAATTTATTCTCGATAAGTTTCACTTGTTTTTGTTCTCATATTTATTCCTTTTGTTGTTTTTTTATTCGATTTTCGCTTACATCAATAATTTAGTGAATTTTCAGATAAGAAAATAAACAAGACGACTTATTATCATTATTGTCAAAAATTGCGTTATTGCGGTATCATTATTGCTGAGATTATTATTGCGGATTTTTTGTCCGAGTCATTTTCGATCATAAATCATTTATAGATTTGGCTTGAATAATCTCTTCCTTCAGTCAGTTAATCTTTCAAATTAATTTTATTTAAAAAAGGAATATTTTTTCTAAAAATTTCTTAATTATTCAATTATTTTACTGATATCCATTTTGCTATTTTAAAAAATATTCAAATTAGTCATTTAATTTATTTTTGCTTAATTTGATTAATTTAGTTGAAACAAATTTTAAAATTTTATCGAATGGAAATAAAATAAAATTCAAATAAAATTTTTTAAATCGTTTTATCATTATTTTATTTGTTTTTTAATTTCTTTTTATATTTACTTATTTTCGGTATTGATTATTTCAGAAATTTTGTCTTTCTTTTTTTTAGAATTTGACGCTTTTTTTTCTGTATTTTCATCTTTATTTATCTTTATAGTTTTCCGCAGAATATTGAATCACTGGTCATTCATATTTTTCAGCGAAAATATTGGCATCTGTTTCTCGTGAGATTCGGATCTAATGACACTGATACATTGGATACATTTTAAGTACATGGGTAATGTCGATAAGGGGTATAATTTCGTGACAAAATTTAAAATGTGGCAGTGTTAGTACACATGAAATATAGCCAGTAGTAAGGTGGTAAATCCAACTGAGTTTTTTTATCGTTCTAAGTCTTGGAATTTTTCCTTCATTATGTTTACTTTTTCGCTAAAATCTGTGTTATGTTACTGTCTTCATTCTTTTCCATATTATTTTATTTCATATTATTTTTGTTTCTTGTCATTTTTCCATTTTATCGTGAGAAATTCGCAATCCACAAGGAGGTTGTTTTTGATATGTTTTGATTTTTTTTGATCCTTTGTTTCCATGAATAAATTCATGATTGTTTTAAAAATTTTTTGATTCAGTACTTTTAATCCTTTAATATTGTTCTATCTACAAATTATTCTCCAAATAATGAAATTTTTAGTGACGACGATAAAGTCGTTCGCTATTAGAATGCATGAAATTAACGATGAATGAGCCAGTGTAAAGTGAGGTGATGATTCATTTAATGATATAAGAAATCTCTGATTTGTGATGATATCAATAAATTGAATAAATATTTAAAAGAATTAAGCAAATGCTGTATTCCTTACATTACATGCTGTATTCCTTGGTTATATTAGAATTACTAGATTTAATGATTTTAGCCATTTGAAGCTGGTTTTAAACTTGGTTGATACAAAACAAGTTCTTCTCATTAGTAGGTTTCGTGAAGGCAAGTTTTTTGAAGGATTTTTCGACCGATTGGTAGAGAAAGTTAATCACTGTCTCTTTTGATAGTATTCCTTATCAGTCGAAATAAGTTTATAATTCCTATCATTAATTGTGATTTGTCTCAGTTGCATCATTATCGCCATATCAGTAAAACAGCCGGTGTCTTCGATTTAAATTTTACTCCATTTTTTGTTTTCTTTTTCGTTTTTTTAGTTCATTATAATTGTTTCCTGGTAGAGGAGAAAAAATTTGGAAATATTTTCCACACCGTTGCTATTTCACAATTTCATAAATTTAAATAATAAAATTGACTTTGTCGTTGAGAATGGGAAAATTTGCATATAATTTGCATTTTTGGAATTTTTTACGTGTGGTCATTTTACAAGATTACTTACTATCTGTGGTTTGGCTGGCTCTCTTGAAATTTTTGCCAGAGAATCATTCGACAGTAGAAGTTCCAGTATCACTTGGATTTTTGAAAGACGAGCATATTTCTTTCTATCGAGAATAGAACATCGATTTCAAAGGAAATTCAGGTAATATACAATATTATTTAATAATTTTTATAATTTTAATCTACTAAATAGCCAAATAAACAGTAGTAATTATTATGAACACATTCCGATGGGTAATTTTTTGAGAGGGATTTCATGGAAAGGGATAAAAGAAGAAAGAGAAAATTTTCCTTAACATAGTAGATATAATGAATTTGATTTATTATTTCTCCTTTTTTTTAGTTTTTTCAAGTTGATTTTTGTTTTTTCGTCTTCTTCCGTCTTTTTTGTTTTTTCTCGTTTTTCTGCTAATTTTTTTTTTTGTTAACACTAGCAGGTGACGGTGTTTAGTTCAATTTAGAAATAAATAAAGAACACACTGAACCCCTCAGGTGCTTTAATAGAAGGTTGGTAATATTTTTTAACAAATTTTTTCACTTTTTATTTGAATGAATGAATGAAAGAATTTTTTCCTTAAGGAATTATCGTAAAGAAAAAAACGTTTGCTTATCACAATTGTTGTCAAGTTTTGCCGAATTTAGCGTGACTTAATTCTGAATTATTTTTTATTCAAGTTTAAGATATGGGTGAATGCAAATCTCTAGTGATTTCGCATTTTGGCTATTTGTAAAATTTATTAAACCTAAGTTTTAGTGGAATTTTTTATTTTTATCGATTATATTGTGAAGATTTATATGGAAATAATTCAAAATAGAGTGATAAAAATTTTTTAGGAAAGTAAAAGATTTATTAATTTAAGCTCATTTTAAATATTTTTATTTTTATTTACGATGTTTCCTATTTTAGAATCACTTTAAATTATAACAATAATTATTGGCTTCAAAGTCGACATTTTAAGTTAAATCATAGCAGTGCATTCTCGAACGTTGAATTAGTTCCACGATGTTTTTGCTTATTTTTTCATTTTTCATTGCTTCTTACATTTATTTTAACTTATTTTTTTATGGCATTGAATATTTGAGAATATTCTTCAATCATTTGAGTTTATAAAGTCCTAAAAAAGAAATAAAGCCAATTAGTTTTTTATAAAAAGTATATGAAGAAAATTTGGGAAGTAATTTTTTATATCATTTATTTAATAAAATTAGAAAAGGAATTAAGGGATTTTTTTTTAAGAGTCGTCTGCATTGCTGGTGACTCGCTTCCATGGCTTATCGCACTGGACAAATATGCCAGAGAATCCCTTGGCAATGGAAGCACAGCGCTCCGAATTGAGCAACAACCCACTGAGCCATCCCACGCCCGAATTAAAAGAATTAGAGAAGAACAAATATTTTTCTTGCAAAGTAACCAAAAATTTAGTTTTTTTGTCTATAAATTTTATGTACTTTTATTTCTTTCGTTGTTTTCTAACATTATTTTGTTTAAATTGTCATATAATATTAATTACTCACAAAAAAGGATTTTAATATGAGATTTACGATCGCTTTGCAATGAAAAGTCTTAATTGTAAATATTGCCTTTTCGGAAAAAATTTTTAATTTTATTTTTTTATTGAGGAATTTTAATACTCTGCGAGAGGTCGGATTTTAATATTTTTCGTTTGATTTTATGTTTATGAAGTGTAAATGGAAATTTTAGTTGATTTGTTTGAATTGATTTGATCTTAAAAGTATTTTCTTATCTTCTAATTTTATTTGTTATAAATAAAATCATAAATTGTAAAATAAGTAAATTATCAAGTAATTTACTTGTAAGAAATAATTACTATATTATTATAAATATTATTTGTTATAAATAAATAAATTAAGATATTTTTAAAATTACAATAAGGAATTAGATTTTTTTTTAAACTGTTTCAAAAATTATATTTTCAGAAATTTTCTTTTTTTCTTTCTTTTCGCTTCGATCAAACTTTGCGAATTATATTAAATTGTTTGTGATTATAATAATAATAATTTCATTGGTTCACTAATATTCGTTGCTAACCACGAATCGATCTCTTTTTACGTCAATCTTGCTGCACATCAATTACGCTTATCTACTTTTCATATCGTTCCATTATTCAGACTTATGCGTTATATTTATTTGTTTTTTTTTAGATGACGAAAGCCAGTTTACCATTGTCACAAGATATTGGAAGATCGATGGGCGAAATTGATGCACTATGGGATGAAAACGCAGATAAATACAAATGCTGCTGTCGGTCATTGCATGTCACTCGCGCATCGCTTTTTATTGCATACGCACAAATGCTTGTGACATTTGTCTTTGCAATATTCTTTTCATTCTATTATATTCAAGTATTTTATAAATAATACGTAAAAAGATAAAATTTTAGATTCTTAAAAGATTTTATAAATTTTAAACTTTATGTTGGATATGCTTAGCACTTCTAATTTGTTATAAAAATCACTTACACTTTTTGTTTATTAATATAATTTATTAATAATGTTTATTAATGTATTAATTTGTTCTTTATTTATTAATATATAATTTTATAGGCGATCAATGGACATTTATCTGCAGATCACTGGATCAATCAGCTTGGCGACCGATACATATGTTAGTTTAACGAATTTGTTCAGTTCATTTTCTGTAAGTTTTCTTACAATGATGAATTTTTTGGAAATTTAAAATAAAAATAAGGGAATGAAAAACTGCCTTCGAAAACTTTGCAATTTAAGTGATTCATAATATTCATAATTAATAGTTTTAGCTTCGATGATTTTTGCGATATCAATTCAGTTAGTACTAGTTTTGCTACTTATTTATGGCATTCGTTCTGACCGCAGATCATTTCTTGTACCTTTTATCATATTTGCTTCAATTGCAATTATGCTGGGTTTCGCTCAGGTAACATTTTTTTTTGATAAGATTGATTTAAAATAATGTTACTTGTTAATATAGAAAATATCTTAAAATATTTACAAATATCCTTAAATATCTTAAAATATTACTGAAAATACATTAGCTATTGATTCATCATTGTATCATATTATATATTAGGCGTTTAGAAAACGAAGTTTTTGTATATTATATTTTCAGTTCCTTGATAGTTATGAGAGGGTTTTTTTTCTATATTGTTTGCATGCTTTAGAGACCGATTAGCGTAATTTTTATTTAAAAAAATGAAAAAAATCAGAAAAAACAGATTTTAGTTGGCTCATGATTTCTTCGGATTTATTTGTGGATCAACACAGCAGCGTACAATATATCAGAACAAGTAATTATTTCATTATTTTTTTTTAATTTTTATTAATTTATTAATTTTTAAACATTTATAAACTTTAAAATTTTGTTTTAAATATTAATAAATGTCTGCAAATATTTTTCAAAATGGAAAATCGATTTTTCCATCTTGAGAGTCAAAATTTGTGAGAGAGTCTCTCACAAATTTTCGCCATTTTTTTCTCATATGCATTAACAATAAATTTTAAATTTTTTTATAAAGATCCTTAATAATGCGAACATATGCATGCACAATGCATTTTTCAATTTTTCTTTTTTTTTTCTTTCTTATGCTAAAGTAATTTATTTTAAGTTTAATTTATTTAAAGTTTCATTTGAATATTTACTATTATTTTCATTATAAACATTATATTTTAGTCAGTTCTTTTCACATCTAATTGGAACGTTAGTACATATGTGGTGCGTTGCTGTGGTTTGGCGTTGTCATGGATTCCTTGGTGATAAAAAAGTTCGTTGTTATTATTCTGAAAGTATTTCCTGTGAAAAGATTTGTATTTAGATTTTTTTTAAAATTTATATTTTATATATTTTTATCTTTTGAAGTTTATATTTTTTTTAATGAAAACGTTTTAAGGTGGCTCGTCAGATTGGTGAACAACTATCTGCTACACATGTTGCATTCCATTATGGTAATATTCCCTACGGTTACATTGGAATGCCACAACCTCCTCCATATGCTGATACGGTACTTAGCGCAGATAAGCAACCATTAACGATTGCATGATTTTTTAAAATCCGTTGCTCTTTTAGTGGGTCATTATTGAATTTTCTTATTTATATTCAAAAATTTTTTCTTTCCAATTGTAGACATTGAGTGACTTTTAATCCTTTATTTCACTTTTTCTATTTAAATTTAAATATTCTGTTTACGATCTTAAAAATATTTTCTAAATTTCCATTATATGTTATGAAACAGTATAGTTTTGAACTTTATTTGAAGACTAGCCACTTGAATTTCCCTTTAAATTTGTGTTTTTTATATTTAAATTTGATATTACTTAATTTGTTTCTGCCGTATTTTGACTTCAATTTATAACCGATTTATATCGTAAGTATTAACTTTTTTTTTCTAGATTATAATATATACCATCACACATTTGTCCACACTATTTTCAGATAGAGAAAATTGTTGTTTGATGTTTATTATTTGCAGTATTTGGCATATATTCCATCCACATTCCTAATTTATGGAATAATAATACACTTTTAACTAAAAATATTGATCGATGAATCGTAAGATTATCTATGCAATTTTTTGCAATATGGGGATTCTGCAATTTCATGCTGGTTACTGGTTACGAAAATAGGAACTTTTAATAGGTGATTGAAATTAGTAGCGAAAAAAAACTAATTTATTCATTGACAAAATAACGGGATATGGATACCTAAACACCAGAAATGATTCTTATCAATGTTTGAATCATTCATAAAAAGAAAAAAAATAAACGCTTTCTGCAGAAAGAACAAGAGGATGATTCGCAAAGACGGTACTCAATTAAACTGATAATTTCATAAGCAGTGGAAGGATATAAGATAATTGTACTAAAATTAAAATCATAAGGATAAAATCGAATGGCAAAAACCCATAACTGTATAGCATTATAGTATATATAATAACATTTTACAAGCGACTATTTACTGCAACCATTAACCATCCAGGTAACCGCAACCAAGAAGGTACGTATTCAGCAATTTTTTTGTATCCTCCCAAGTTAAGCAAATTCTTAATGCTGCGAATACTTGGAGGAGCTCTTCCTGGAAAAGGAATCTTATGAAAATATTTCAAAGAAAATTAAATATTAGGAAACGGTCATCTGCTTCTAAATAATGGCATTTTTCTTCTTAATAAAAAGCCGCAAATTCTGGATCTACGAATACTTGGAGGGTATTGTTTCCATATCGAAAAAAAAGATTTACCATTTTAAAAAAATATTTCATTAATGTGAAAAAACAGGTGAATAATCAGCAATCTTGGCGATACGGGGAAAATAGCGCCATTCCTACAGATTAGAGGGATTTTAATAAATTTTTATAAAATTACCATCGACATCGCAAAAACGATAATCTAATCCTATATCAGCTGCGACAAGAGTACTCCCAGTCTTTTTCAGGATATTTCTATCATTTGCCAATGCCACCACTGCTTTCCCAGAGAATTCAACTGTTTCACCATCTTCCAGCATTGTTTTCAGTTTCAATTTCTTAAAAATCTTTTGAAGCTTAAACCAAATCACTTTCGAAGAATAATGAAACATAGATAAAACTCTCGTTTCTGAAAATGAAAGGAATAACGCACATAACCAGTGAGTTCAATATCTGCGCTATTTACAATATCAGAAAAAAGTTCAGTTCGAACTACGCCAGGCCACAACGAAACTACTGAAACGTTATATTTGCGCAATTCACAGGCCATATCAGCTGCCATACGATCAAGCTGCAAAATAATATAGCATTAAATAATCAAATGGTAAAAAATGGTTCAAAAAATCATTCTACAATTTACAACACTTTATTTCATTTAAACTGCATTAAAAAGCTTTCTTAAAAATTATTTGCATTAAAAAGCTTTCTTAAAAATTTCTTCCTAAAAATAATTTCTACCGGAATCATGAATAAACTTCTTTTCTAAATTCCTAAACAATAGGTAATGCTTACTATTTCTGGTTTGGCTAAGGCAACATTTTTTTATTTGGCTAACTCTATTCCATGTTATTATGGTTAGAAATCTTTGCCAAGGAGAGACACTTAGCAAAAGATGTACAGATGCGCCGTTTAACGGCGTTCCGATTTTTTAGTGATAGGTACTTTTAAATGATTTTTTTCTTACTCCTAAAAAGATTTCTTTTCCTAAGAGATTCCATCAATTTTTTCAACATTTATTTCATCATAAAAGAATTTTCCAAATGTGCCCGCAGATCTAATTTAATATCTAATGATTTCCCCGGGAAAAGCGCAAAAAACAAAAATGAGCAATAGAAAGAATTCTTATGATTTAACAGTTTCAATAGTTACCGCACATTTCCCAACACCATAGGAGACATTGAAGAAATACTGTAAACCGCCAAAAGAACTGATATTCACAATAAGACCTGCTCTGTGTTTCACCATTAATCGCGCGGCATATACGCTACAAAAATAGTGATTTCTCAGACCCACATTGTTGACCTCATCCCATATGCTAGGATCGGTTTCCCAAAATGGTTTTCCAGATTCTTTACCCAAAATCTGGAAGTAAAATCAATTCTTCTAATGAAATCCAAAGAGATATTAAAACGATTGACGACAATATGGCTATGAATAATTTTTAATTTATATTTCAAGTTGAAAAATCAAATGAAAAAAAATCTATCAAATATAATTAAATATTAAATTATCTGCAAACCGGAACAGCAGAATACGCGTTATTTACAAGAATATCAATTGTACCATCGGTTTCGGACTGAACTTGAGAGAAAAAATCCTTCACTTGATTCATGTCGGAATGATCGACATATTTCGCAATTCCTTTTCCGCCACGCTCAGTTATTTCTAAAAAAAATGAAAACTTTATGAAAAAAGATCTCTACAAAATCTCAGAAACAAATTTAAAAGTTTTTTCACATCTTTTCTGATACAAATGCTAAAAATCTACAATAATCACTGAGTAAAGATGATAGCATCAATTCCTACTTGTAAATCAGCCAAAAAACAACGAAAAATGAGAAATGGAGTTTATGTGAAAATCAAATGACCATCTGCAGTTTTTTGCAAGGATGGGAGATCATCTCTTCCCGTTTGAGATATTGACACTTCATGCGGTCGACCAGTTATATAAACCGTAGCTCCAGCTTCTCCAAGTTGTAAAGCTATACCACGACCAATACCTAAACATTTAGACTTTTGCTGAGATATCATAAAAACTTGGACGTTTTGAAAACTAAAAACTAGAAAAAATCGACTCAACATTCATAGTTCATTTAGAACTACTTTTATGATATTTATTACTTTATTACTTTACTTGAATCTTATTAAATAATTGTTTGATCTGTATATTTTATAACATAATTAAAATCTCTACTGAAAAATAAATGACATTCACTGTGCGACTATCAATTTAAACGAAAAATCCAAAACCCTTTATTTATTTAATTGAACGAAATGAATCACCTCGAGAAGCACCAGTTACTATTGCAATTTTGCCAGCCAAAGACATCTTTCACTCCTTTTTCTTTTTCGAAATCCTCTTAAAAGAAAATATTGTCACACAAGAATGCAGTATGCAGTGAAAATACATAAAACAGCGTGAAAAGTTCGAATTTATTTCCGTTTAGATCAATAAAACCTTTTGGAACTAATAACCTATCATTTGAATTCGTTTTCCTCACCTTTATTTGTTCTTCGCTTTTGCTTTTGATTTACTAATTCGAATAAACCTAATTCTAAACTAATAATCTAATAAAATAATCATTTAAAAAAGCTTGAAAAAGTGCAAGAAAAATAAAATTTTTTTTCATTTTTTCTCCTTACAATTGCATGATTTCGCAAAATTTCTACAAATATGCAAATATTATTTCTTTTTCAATGTTTTAAATGATTCACCCAGATAATCTATCATTAAAGTCAGATATAGCTGAAATACTCCTGAAGATCCACTTGTACATCCACCCCAAATGATTCCGTAGTGATTGGGCCAAGCAAATCGCACACGACATCCCGAAATTTATGTTATCATCTCTAACTTGGTGTACACGGAACTATATTAATTTACGATCACATTTTATTCATCGCTTTGCGATCGCTTTAATGTGTGGATAACATGATGCGTCCTAACTAAGATTTAGACAGGATGTGGCTGCGATCAAATTTTGAGAACTATTGAAGATATTGACAACCATTGTATATTTCATCGATTTTGTTGACGCTTTTGATTCGATCAACAGAATGGTGCTCTGGAGTAAAGATATGCAATACGATATAGATGCTGGAGGAAATGAAAATGATAGAACATTTTGAAATAGGTACCAATATGCGTCAAAATTGCGTCCTCTCTCTATAACTATCAACTAAACGATAGAATGGATTATCGATGTCGCTTGCCGGCACTCAACAGGTGTACAAATCAATCCAGAGCATATGACGTTAAATTCACCAACCAAAGATATGCTTCCACTATTATAAACAGACGCCAGACTGCTAGAAGCTAGGCAGGAGCAACGAAAATTGGCCTTCAACTTAATTTAAATAAGAAAAAATAAGAAAAAACTCTTATACACCAGGCAAAAGATCATCAACAGGAGAAATGCCAGACTTTCTCTCATTTTCATGCTTAATTACCAGGCGAAAACTGAAAATTCACCATAAATAACTATAGTCAGAGGTGACTCCTTTCGTCTGGCGAAATATCTCTGGAAACACCACGAAAACAATTTGAAAACTCAAGTATTTCCATCTATCTGGATATATTACGCGCAACTGACTGCAAAACTTAGCCAATGAAAGCGGAAGACATCAGGGAGCCATGTGCCTTTCACCATCCTTGCTTAATTCATATCCTATGTATCCTCCAGGTGGTCAGAGCCGCGCATTACTGCATCCAATTTCATTCGAATAATAACAGTATCGTCACAAAGCAATATGCTTGCGCTGGTCTGGCGTGTTCTTCAGCGACCACCACAAGGGCTGATGCTCATCTCGCTAGCTACTAAACCGCGTGATGCACAGCATCAAAAGCAAGGAGAGCCTAAAAGCCAATCAATACCTGGAGCGGTCAAATTGTACACCGCATATGTAGTACTGCGTTTTTTCACATTTTCGGGAAATAATATCGGGATAGGCTTGGAAATGTTCTACTAATCACTAGAAAATAGATGAAAAAAGTAGTAAAGAATCATATGGCATTACTGTTAGTGCGAAAAAATACAATTAAAACCGAAGGACTCGTTAAAATGGAAATGGAAATGAATGCCACTCACCCACGAACCCGTAAAAAAGCACCCAATGCCAGAACCCACATACCATTCATCTAAAAAAAACACCGAACTAATAAATTCACTTTAGAAAATAAAATTTCCTATGAAAAATTTAGCAGCACAATATTAAAATACAGTAATGTGAGATGCTTCCTCATAGGCCATTAGTACCTTCCATCTAGCATGTGAGCTAGTGACATGCAGCATCCTTTCACTTCCGAATTCCCTTCAGCCTGCATTGTATTATCACTTTTCCGTCATTAACACTCTTCCAAATTCTGCCACATTCTCTAACCATTTTAAATTGTGCAGCTGCAAATCCAGTTGTGTCCTTAACACGTGTGGTATATTCGTGTGGTATACTATATTCTCTTAAAAACCCTTGAACTCCTCATAAAAATTCGCTGTATTTTTCTGAGACAGTTACGAGTAATTCCACTTCACACCTATTCAACTTATACAGCAGTACGTTAAGACGTTGAAAAAATTTTGGCTAGAAGAGCTGGCCTTCTGTCCAACGAAACCTCTGTGGAACCGTAAGATCAATATCAAAAAGAAAGTTCACACTTATTTGGCTGCATTCTATATGACTATAAAAATTGGTCACGAAGAGTGGAAGATAGTAGATGCTTTTTTGATCATGGTGCACATTAAGGTGCACTTGTTTTCTACTAGTGTGATAAAATTTTACATCAATGCATCCATCTTCGCTCCAATACTGACCGTTGCCTTCACATTTCGTCACTCACATCGACTAGGCTACATTCTTTGTCATCTATTTTTGTAATTGATATATGTTTCTTGCCAAACTTTGGTTAATGGCACTGAAAACGAGAAAACCCAGTCAAGATATGGACTGACACGACTGGAAGAGAACTAGAAGTGATCCAGCGATATTCAGCCAAGGCGGTAAAAGAATGGCATATTGTATCGGATCGATAGACTTGGAAGCGTTTTTTTATCCTAATAGTCAGTAAAAATGGCTTAACAGTGAATGGTGAAAAAAGTGGAAGAAAAACTGGTGGTTGAATGACCGAAACACATGATAAAAAGGTCTAAGTCCAGAGTTAAAAGATTGAAGTCGAAGATCGAAAGGTCAAGGTCGAAGATCAAAATATGAAATCTAAATATGAAAATTTGAAATCAAGAAAAATTTAAAATTAATTTTTTATTTACCCATTTTTCTCATTCAAATGATGTTCATAATTTTTTATTAAAATAATGAATTTGAAATACAAATTTTAAACAAAATTTTGTGGTAAAAAGACAAACTTTTATTTCAAGCTTTTGGATAATAATGATAAAAATAATAATAATAAATAGATAAATAAAGAAAGAAAAAATGATGCAATACAATTGGCAGTGTTATTAAATAAACTGATTTATTGTGTATAATTAAGGTGTAATATTTTTTCAGATTTCCAAATTTTGTTTTTTTTCTATTATTAATTTTTAAAATAAGTTTAAATTTGAACTGAAAAAAAATTTAAAATAAATAAACCATCCTAGGAAATAAATTTCTAAGAAAATTGTTTATAAAAATTTTATAAAAATTTCTAATTTTTTTTTTGCTTATATTTGATATTTTCTAAATAACATGCCTTATAATGTGATCATTGATAAAAAATTAGCATAATTTTTCCACGAAATCCAGCAATCACTTAAATTTATTAAAATATTATCATAAAAAAGCTAAAATTAAATCACCAAAAACGAGAGGACTATTGGCGAAAAGCTAATTTTGCCAATAATTTCGCTAATTTCGCAAACTAAGCATTTAATATATTTATAATATTTTAAGTTAATATATTTTCCAGAATTTATTTATCTAAAATTTGAAGAATGAAGTGATTAATTAACTAAATAGCCAGATAACAAAAAAGTCGTATGAAAAAATTAGTCAAATTACGACGTTTCTTCCTCTTAATTTATTTGATTTCTTCCTCTTTATTTGATTTCGCTTTTGCAAATATTTTTACCTAAGAAGCTGGACAAATAAGGTCAGAAAAATATAAAATTGTCCAGTCTATGTAATCTTATAAATGAAAATTCTTAGGTTTAATTTGAAGAAAGATGGCTTAACAGTATCGTCTGATTTCGAGTAATATTTAGAAGCGATTCAAAATTCATTAAATTCTAGCAAGCCATAAAAGATTTTTAAGCGATATTAGCAAAAATAAAGAAGCAAAAAAAAAGAAAAGCCTGACATAAGATATAGGCCAATATTTATTATACAGAAAAAATCCAGATTTATGGAAGACTCGGGTTCAAATTTTTTATTTTAGAATTTTACTGTTTAGCAGATTTTAGAATTTCCTAAATAGTATAAAGAAAACGATAGGAAAAAGTAAGAGAAGAGATTATACTGGGCTTGGTAAGTAATATGAGATTCGGCACTGGCAGAAAATAAATTCACATGGAAATTGGATCAGCTACCGAAATGCAATCGTTTTTTTCCCAGCCGCTGATCAACATTATATTTGCTCATGTTCTGAAAAAAGTCTTCTTGGCAAAAGAGTCAACAGGAACAAACAACCACATAAAAGAAAAACATATCATAAATGTTAATATTTTAGCATAAATTCTTCAATTAGTTTTCAACTTTAAAGCCATTTCAGCCATTAAATTCTTGTTTAGAGGACTTAAATGAAAGCATCTTACAAAAGTAGAAAATTAACTTTAACTCTAAAATGACTCGAAAATTTTTAATAAACATTCGTTAAACATTCAAATGATCAAACGCTCAATAAAGGAAAATCCTCAAAACATTCTAACAACATAAAAAATAGACATACCTCGATACAGAGAACTATGAATCTTTTTGAGCAATCCACATTTTCATAAGTACCAAGAAGTGGCCTCGATGTTGCAAAAGGTGACGCACTACCAAAAAGTGATGGACTTGAAGACCTCCACGCATTACAATAACCTGATTCACTCCGACTGCCTGTTGAATCCGAGCCATGCCAAATCATTTTTCTACCCCTAAAGTTTGAAATAGAAATTCAAATTCAATCAAACAGAAATTCAAGAAGGTTTCTGAATAAATAATCAATAAACAATAACAATATTATCGAATATTATTGTAAAAAAAAGTTTTTCCTTAAACTATGAGTAAAGATTGTCGAATGATATTACCTTTTGGCTAAGGTTGATCCTGTGGAACAGACTAATAAAATAAAACAATTAATTATAGAATAAAACAGGTGTGGTTACCAGGTATAATCCTGTAGAATATTCCTACGATCAAATGAATATAGCGGTACATCATTCATAGGTATATTACGAAATATATCACTCCATGATTCAAATAATTTCTCTCCACGTAAATTCACCACGGGTGTTTCTCGATCGCCATAATGCACAATTTTATTCAAATCCTGATTGAAATTAAATTGCAGGAAATTCTTTAAACCCATAATATTAATATTTACAAAAATAGTAGAAAAAATACCAGAAATCCTATTTACCTGAACTTGAGATGAAAGGAAAGCACGAAATGTTGTTCGGAAGCCAGCCTGTCGTGCCTGTTGATAACAAGCCAAATCTGCACCTAGTACACCACGCATATTACCAGACATTGGAGTATTTAGTGCAATCAGATGAAGCTAAATTTAATTTCCGTTAATTACGAATAAAAAATTTAATAGAATAGGTTCATCCTATTTTTTTCTTTTTTTTTTGAACATTTGGGAATATATTAAGAGAAATTTTTCATGCAACTAATTTTTTTAAATTAGAATTTAATCAATAAATATTCATCAAATATTCAGCCAATCCTGGCTAGAAGATGACGAGAAAGATTAGCAAATATTTAACATGGCTGAACACCCGAAAATACCCAAAAATATTATCTGAAATAGCGCGAGATTTATAAAAAATAATAAATTTGTGAAAATATACAACGAGATTTTTGGCTTGCAAGCTATGAGATCTGTGTGGAACAGGATATTCTGGACGTCGATATTGTGGTTGTACTGATCTGTGAGGATAATGTGAAACCGTCACTCTAACATCAGGTCGATCCAAAGGTGATGGCTGTGTAATAACCTACAAAATTCGTCGCCGAAAGAATTTTATTTATTGTTATTGGATCTTTGAATAAACTATACGATCATTATATATATATATATATATATATATATCATTTTTATCTTATTTTAATCATGCTTCGAATTATAAGATATTAAAAAATGTTGATAATGATGAACAAAATTTAATTACTATAATTCTATAACTTACTTCTGGTTGTGTGTAAGGATAAGGAAAAGGTCTGTGAGGACTATAGTTGGGGATGTAATCAGGCCTATATTCAGGTATTCTAATTGGTTGCTGAACTTCGACTTTGGGCTGAACAACCTGAAATAATTGTTCATATGTCTTTAAAAATTTAAATTTTTTTTGCCAAATGAAAGCCATAACATATTCTTAGAAGAATGATTCGACTTAATTTGCAGTGTCTGTGAATTTACGAATTAAAAATCTTGAACAAAAAGGCAAGTTAACATCAAAATGCAAGATAGCGGACGAAAATATTCGATAAGTACTTTGCACTTTGACACATCAAAAATATAAGGGCAAAAAACCTAGCGGACTTGTTCGAAGAGAAAAAAGTGCTTATAGAGGAAGAATATTAAAACGATAGGTACAAATCGGAGTTCACAAAAAAATCACTTCTAATTTTTTTAATCAATGAGTGATCAAAAAATTGAAATAAATGAAACAAATTATTAGTCGGATTATTCTCAGAAACATTTCTGGACAACTGTATAAATTTGGATAAATTTTCTTTTGGCTAACGTTTTAGTTAGCTGCTATTGGCAACAAAAAAAAAATTTTTCGCATCGTTCTTGGCGACTTTCTGCTTAATAATAAAATAATTTGAAACAAAATTTGTGATCTTCCCTATTCTTCTTTAAATAGAAACAATTGAAAAGTTTCAGAAACACCAAAAGATTTTGAAAACAACTGTTAGATACGAGGAATGAACTAAAAAAGATAGTGGGTTAAGGAAAAATCCATCGGAATTCTGGTAATGAGACAAAAAGAAATATAAAATGCAAGCAAATCCATCGCAGTTCAACCGAAATCTTTTGTTCTAGAAAATAAGGCAAAAAAATGAAAATAATGGAGATATCAAACGACATGAAATATATACTAAATCGCAAACAATATTAATGGCCAAAAAACAAAAGATTGACAAGACATAAGCAATATTATTCACCACATTCACAGATCGTTTTTTACAAACATGCATACTTACGGACGATTCATCTGATAGCTGAAAAAACTCATGAAATAAGATCCAAGGACTACCTTCAATTTTTCACTCTCTAGAATTATTTGAAGTTTTAATTATTTAAGTTTTAGTACAACTTTTAACACGACAATTATTCTAGTAAATGCACAAATCAGTTTCGCACAATGAAATCGATCCAATTCAGTGAATTAAAATAAGTGAGAAAAACCAGGAATTCAGCAAAATTATTAGTTGAATGAGAAAGAAACATCGGATATCGTTATTCCAAATAAGATCGGAACGATTTCTAATGTTTTCCCAGAACTAATTTCGGGAATCTTACATCTAATTCTCATGGAAAGATAATAAGATTGGGTGTATAAGAATAGAAAATAGTAAAAATACAAAATGCAAATTTTTTCATTAAAATTATAAAATTAAATGACGAATGTAAATGAAATTAACTGAACTACTACTACGCTAAGAGCAATAACAACCACAATTCTCTGACAACAGCCAAACTTACCCAATAGGGAATATAATTTTCGTTTGGAGAATCAAGATTTATCTCCTAAACATAATGATGACGATGGATTTTATTGAAAATAATAAATATTTATTTGTTGAGTATATTTAGGCTTACTTTAACATTTCGATAGATAAAATTGATGAAAGGAAAAAGTTCCATAATATAATTTTTTAATGCTAGGACATAACCAAAATTTAAGGGGGGCAAAATAGTCGAGTGATATATTACTTCGACTAAGAATCAGTTCTTGCTTTTGGACGAGAGTAAACCTGCCACTGAAGGTAAAATCAAGATAACACTGCCCTAACTGTACTTTTATTCCTCAGTAATTTTCTCAGACAATGAAGAAATTCTATTCTATTGTATCCTATTGATGAAGCGAACCAAAGCAGAAATTGGGAATGAAGAAATAAAAATTTTACCACGGAAGGACGCTGTTCAAGAATCGGATGAAAACCTTCGAGCTGGAAAACAAAGATTTTTGAAATATAAAATCTAACTATTTCAAGAAATGTTTTAATCAAGAAATTTTCTATCTTTTCCGGAATACTTTGTGAAAAAATATTTGATTTCGTTAATTTATTCAACCGGAAATTTTGAAAAACATTACTCGAACATTTTTCCATCCACCATTAACTCGAAGAAAGAGTTGCTGACTTGAAATGCAAAATGCTAGTGTACCGATATTCACTGATTTTGCTGACGAGAACAGTTCAATTGACGTTTGATAGATGTGGGTCTAAATCCATATCATCCGGAATAAGACTTATAAATTGTTATGCAATAATCAATTGAATAAATAGATTTCAAAACTATATATTATAATTGGGTTTCTGCGAAAAATTGTGAGAAGCCTAATAAATTGACAATGAAAACTTACTCCTCCAGGAGCAGTTTGTTGAGGAGGTGTCTGATACTGAGGTGTGCCTGGAGGGCCTGGTGGACCTATCGATCCTGGTTGACCCGCAGGACCTCTATCGCCTTTCTCTCCTAAGATAACACAAATATTGATAAATTACTGAAATTTTATATGCTTGTTATTTCACCAACCTTTTTCACCTTTTGTTGTGAATCGATGTTTTTTAGGATCATAAGCTGGCAAATCAGTACTATCCACGGAAACAGATTGGTCCGAATCAGACGCACAATCACCTTTAGCACCCTATAATTTGACAATTTGGCTCAAAAAAAAATAACATTTATATCTTAAGAAAAATGGAAAGAACACAGAAATACTTTTATACGAGGGTCGGATATAATTCGCTCGAGATCCTCATCTGTAAGCATACCGTAGCGACCTGAAGGGCCTGGCAACCCAGGTATCCCTACTCCTGGATCACCTGGTGGACCTCTTAGGCCTTGTGGACCTAAAATAAATTTGTACAATAATGATACGAAAAAATCGAAAATGTGACCATAAAGGAGTGTTAAGAGTGTAGATTGCAGAAAAGAGTAAAAAAAAAAATAAGGGAGATTTAGAATAACTATCTTGGCAAAAAGGAATAATACCTGGTGGTCCTGGAGGCCCTGGTGGACCAGGTATGCTCTGCTGCACGGACATCGACTCATCAGAACGCTGAACAACCATTCCAGGTGGTCCGGGAGGCCCTTGTGGGCCCGGAGGGCCTTGTGGTCCCACTGGGCCTTGTTCACCGCGAGGTCCTGGTAATCCATCTCGACCATCACGGCACTGCATGGCACACTGAAATTTTAAAATGAATCATGATCACTGAAAAGAACCATGCACAGTTGCAAAGGCCAATAATAATAACAAAAAATAATCAAACTCACCACACCGGGAGGACCAGGTTCCCCGCGCTCTCCTTTCATTAATTTAACTGAAACTTCTTTGATTAATAAAAAATCTTCAGGAAAATTTATCTTGGAAGCTTTTTTCAATTCACCACCTCTTATCCACTCTTTTATATGTAAGCTTTAAACTGGCCAATTCCATGTTAAGACTATACTGTTGATCATGCAAAAAAAGAATTCTTCACAGCTGCAAATGAGGATTCAGAATGCACTAAGATCCTTCATCACAGAATTTCACATGCAAAGCATGCACCTCTAACTAATAAAGCCTCAGTAATTCCAGTCTAAGCCATAGTGCTGGAAAATATTTTTAAAAATCAGATCTTATGAAAGATTAACTATTTGCTCATATAGTGCGAAAATTTTTGTATAATGTTGTACTGATAAATCTGATAAAAAAAATTTAGGAGATGAATAATGAATGAAAACCCAAATAAGGAAAAAAGTAACAATCTGGAAGCAGTTTACATGATTACATTATCTGGAAGCAGCAGAATACATGTACACCTAATACACCTAAGTAATACAGTAAAAATGGGCAAATAAATTCTATCATTTCAGTTTTGTCCAAGGAATACCAGTTGAGCAAAAATGAAAAGTGCGAGTTGCGCTATCCACTATTCTCTACCACCTATGATGTAAAACTATGCATGGCTGATGGCAATCATAACCCCTACAAATTCAAACCGATGTAGCTGTTAGAACTGTGCAAATAATTATCCAGTTCAGGATGTAAAGAATGCGAACCATAGGAACTTATATCTTCGGTAATATAAAATGGTAAAATAAGACTATCAGTATACTCGTTGGATTCCAAATTTTTGTAACGAGCATCTGAAATTCACACACTTCGTAAGCTATGTTCATCCATTTATCCTGCTGTTTTCGATCATTTTATGCAGCTATTGCGACTTCGGATGTGACTATGAAGAAAAAAATAAATTCTTACCATTTGGATGAGATGATGGGTGGATATATAACGAAGAAGGAGGCTGCGAAGTTGTCGTCAAGTCTTTTTCAGTCGAAGTATCATCCACAAAACTGGGAAACTCATCGATACCACTTCCTTCCTGAAACAAACTCAAATTTTTTATTGCAACATGCAACAGTTAAAAAGATTGGATTTTATTGAAAACTACTATAAAAACTCGAGCCACTGAAGCATCGTAAAAGACATTTTAAAAAATATAAAATGGAATCTTATTTTTCCTTTTCCATTTGGAAAAATCCGCTTTCCTTATCGAAATAATGAAAGAAAAGAAACAAAACATCAACAAATATTTCTTAAACATACCTTGCGGTTTTTCCCTTTTTTTCTTTGCCACTGATAATTTGATAAAAATATAGTTCATACATTTCATACATTTCAACTCAAAAAAAACTTTAAAACTTTTCTTAATTCCTTCTTCTGCCAACAGCATTCACCATTTCTGGTTTGCTGCTTCCAGTGGCTACTGGAATTAGCCCAGAAAGCCATTTGAGAGTAGAAGTGCGGATGAAACCTCAGCACCAGTACTCCCAGAATACTTCATCTAATTTAACTCGTACTGAATTAACTAAATTTTCGTGTTATTTCAAAAATGGACATATGAAAACTACACAATAAAAAGTTATTTCCTTATTCAAGTCGAATGAGTTACTGGTACCGTTAAGCTACTTTCTTTCATTAGATATATTTACTCATCATTCATTTGAAACTTTTTGCACAATATCCTATCCTAAAAGCAGTCTAACAGTTAAGAATGGATTATGCTCCGTTCTGGAAAATTTTCCAGAATGGCTTAATTCACTCAATCAATCTATTAAACGGGCTAAGTATTTGATTTGCTTAAGGTGCACCAAATGGAGTTAATGCGATCGTGCCTTTTTGTAAACAAGGAAGTTGTATATTGAAACCATATATTGCATTATAACATACATTTTCATCATCACATGAAACAGCCGCATCATTGGGATCGTCCGAAAGTCGCATTTCTTGTATCGCTCCCTAGAATAATTAATACATAACTGAAAGTAATGAAAAAACTTACCATTTCTTGAAGTAATTCATTCGATGAAAGATGTGCATAGCCTGCAGCTAAATCAGTTTCAGTTTCATTTTCATCCGAATCGGTACCGAAGACAATTATCTGATCAAGAGGAATACGGAATCGCTCCGGTGTTTCGTCATAATAATCTACATGACTCCATTCAGTTGAAGCCACGGTGGGATCTTCAGAAGATTGTACAGTTGGGCCCTCCGGTGCAGCGACTTCAATTACCGAAGAATAAAGATTCTTACGTTCTTCATTCGCCGGTAAATCAAACAAAACTGGTTCACGACTTTCGGATTTTTCTGCATCATTATGCTTTTTAACTGTTCTACGTCGCCGATGCTTTATTTGCCGGAATCTAGCCTTTGGAGGATTAAAATTCTCACCAACTACTCCATCTACAATTATTTTCGATTCTGAATACTGAGGTGGTGGTCGAAGACGCTTTAATATTGTGCCATCGGAAGTTTTTTTTCTTTCCTCAACTGAATAATCAATTTGCTTTGAATTTTCCGTTGCTTTAAATAAGAGACCTTCTTCATGAAGTAAATCGAGTACCGCATCTGGCAGAAAAATTGAATTCGTTCCATTTACTTCCCAGCATATGGTTTCCATGAAATTCAGTACCATAATCAATAAAGTGTAATAAAACATCTTGGATGAAATCTTTCGGAAGCCTATTATCTTACCTGAAAGCCTAGTAATTTTTAAAGCAATACTCACAATATTAAAACTCGCATAAAAATTTCGAAATTACTGAAAAGTTACCGATTTACTAATTCTCTAATTTTCATAATTTGAAATTATTCACCAATGTTTTTAATATAATGCAAAGAAATTTGACTAAAATTGCTTATCTTAAATACATAATTCGAAAACACAAGTATTAATTATAACAGTGGCAATCAAGCATTGAAAGCCGCCCAAAAATTCTAAATGTTTTCCTGAGACAAAGTTCACTTTTCTAAGGAAATTTTTGTGAGGAAAAAAATGCCGCTATATTGATTTTATCTGATGATTGCAGATATTGATATTCGGAACCTTTGAATTAGATGTGCAAAAATGGGATAGAATAAATAACGGCGAAAGATGGATTAACAAAAACAAAACGTATATGTTTTCCAAAAAAGCTACTTCAAAGCTATTTGATGTTGACTTGATAATAATAAGGGTAATAATTGTAGCAGCATGGCTTTTCTTCTAATTCTAATGCTCAATTTCTGGTTTGCTCCATTAATGATGAAAGCAGACCGTTTTCACACAGAGAATCACTTCGGGTAAGCAGTATGGGAAACGTCAGTAATATAAACTACTAGGTGCATTATATAACTTAAAGTGACAAAAAGTGGCAAATTTACATGAGGCAAATATTAATGAAAAGAAATAGTAAAATTTATTACAAAAATGGTAGGACATTTTACTACCTCATAAAATGTCTTTTGTCAGATTGTCGAACAGACCAAACTTTTTGAATGTTTCCTAGATCTCACCCATACTACGTGACTCATTTAATAATTCGATACAACATCTGTCTAATCTTTTATTTAGAAAAAAAAACGATACCATTGGCAGAATATTTGCTACCAATAACCTAAGACAACAATCGGCATTTTGTATACGATTAACATAATTGTTAATGGGGCCTTATTCCGAAAAAAAGACCTTAAATAATATTTATTTAATACTTTCTAAATAAAATAATACAGCTACAGATGATTGAGTATTTTTGCTAAAAGTTATTATAAATAGCCATCTGTGCTTTCATTTTTTTTGTGCTGTCGGAAACTATTATTAAATTCCAAAGCATATTTTCAATTGGCAGCTAGTCATAGACTAGTTTAAAATAATCACTTCTTCGATAAACCTGGTACTCAAATATATTCATGTCACAATTACTACTTCTACTTGGACTCCTTAGATAAACTCCAGTATATGTAAATCACAATGGATATAAAAATTATCCAATTAGTTCAATCGTTGTAAATCACGAATTTATCTTCAAACAGCGTTACGGGTCGGACTGATTTCACTAAAACTAGTGAGGCTATGGTACTGCCAAGTTTATCAGAATTGTCTTATCACTTTTTTAGCTGGATTTAGCATTTGATTTTAGAGGTACAGATCAAATGATTGAGTCAGAAAGAGAAAAAAAAAAAAAAACGGAAGGAAGAACAAAACATAATATGAATGAATAAAATAAATAAGAGCCTTTCGATTCTTCTCGATTATCCAGGCCAACCGTTATGATTTTTTCGTTACCTTATTGCTGATGATAAAAATTTGATGAAAAAAGAAAGCAAAAGGCTCATCTTTCTCTCGATCATTCGCAATATTCTCGTGGTACAAGTCTCTGAATGCAAAAAAATTGTTTGCAAAAATCAGACTATTTACGAGAAAAAGAAGAATGAATAAATCTCTCGTTCTGAAAATCATCTGTTAAAATTTTTTTTTAAATCTGGAATGCTTTTCTTGATCATTCTTCTTGACAAATCAAAAACGTCTTTTCTTCTAACCTTTTCTGATGCGATATTCCTAGGATAAAAGAAAAGTGTCGAAACTTAAAGGCATGTTCTTCTTCTAACAGTCAATATTTCTCGTTTGGCTTACTCCTCTGACCATTGATGAGATCCTTTCATCATTGAATCAGTGAGAGAAGCATATATTTCATTTTAGTCACTTTATAAAGGAATTAAAATAGGTAAATATTAAAACGAAAGTTCTGTTAACGTATGAATATCTTAACTGAATTTGATTCAAATACGTATCCTTTTTCTAAACTCTTTTCAAAAAAAAAAATTCCCAGAACTGTTCCATATAAACAGTAAAAATTCAAAAAGCAAAAATTTTTTGCCAGGAATTTATCTTTTTCTCA